CAGACATCGGTCTTGTTTAACAAATATATATATATATATATATATATCATATTTCCATCTACATAATGGTTAAAGTTTACCACAAACACTAAGTTAAATTTTATACTTTTCTGTTCTTTTACAGTCTACTTAATCTATTAAATACAAGATTTTGAAAAATAATCAGAAAAATAATCCATAATATAAGTACAAAATAAAATTGAGAATTATTATAAACCAATTTAAAAAAAAATGTATTTCAATGCCTTCTTTTGAAGACGCATCATTGCATTAGCTTCCATGGGCAAGATGAATATGTGTTTGTGCAAATATTTTAGGACATAGCTGCATTGCATAAAGTTCTAGGTAACTAATCCACTGAAAATCAAAAATAAAGTTCTCTTCAAGTCCTTTTAGCCCCTTTTGTTTGGCTTTGAGGTTATTAGTATGACTTCTGTAACATAGTGTTTAAGGACAGGAGACCTGATGGTGTATCTTGGCTATCTATTAAGCTTTAAAAAATAATTAAAGCAAGTTCTTATCATTCAAATACTTATCAAGCTTTTCCTTAAACTTCCTGAAATTTACTGTTTCAATCACCTAGTCCTACCACTAAGTACAAAAAAGTGCATTGACACTGTAAATTCCCTTAACAATTCTAAACACCTCAGTTAGATCACCATTAATTGTTTTCTTTCAAAAAGAAGTAAACTCAATTTTGGAGATCACAATCTGTCCTTGTATGATACTTTTCATTCTAGTAGCCCTTCTTTGAGCCTTTTATAACAATTCAATGTCTTTAAGGTAAGGAGCCCAAGACTGAACACAGTACTCCAATTGTAGGCCAACGAATAACTTTACAATGTAATTATAACTTCTTTTAGCTTGTATGTAATATTTCTGTACATATAACCTAAAATCCTATTTGATCTGTTACTGGATGGTGTAAGAGACTGATCAATCAAAACATGAACAGTTGGGATCCACTTGCAGGTTGAATAGTCAAATGTATGAGAAGTAAAACTGTAAAAATATTCATTATATTGGGTCATCAAGAAAATAATGCCACTTTTACCAATGAATAGTGGGATTGACTGTCACATTATAATTCCCCCACAGCTGAAAGGGTGAGCATCTTTGGTGGGATAGGGATTCGAACCTGAGACTCGCACATTGCGAGCCAAGCACCCTAACCACCTGGCCATGCCGGGCCATCACTATAAGGGATTAAAGTATACTAAACTTTACACATTATATAGGCTACATTAACGTGACATTTAGGCGGTTCGTTTAACTATTATATGTGATGTATGTTTTTCTTGGGGGGGGGGGTCAGTAATGAGAGTGTTCCAAAATGTGACATTGATTTCTGGATGACCTAATATATCAAACAAAACATTCATTAAATGAAATAGTCTCCATTATTATCGATGATGCTTTTCCAT